GGAGAGAGGAATCGAACCCAACCCTAGTCAGTTACCGTTCTCCCTCTTCACCGCTACACCACCAGTCGCTGCTTTCAACTAGTTCCACAATGCATATAAGAAAGGGGGAGATCTGGCCCTCAAAATATTCGAATTTCAGCCAAATTTCAAATTCGATTTTCTCGGATCTGGAATTTCCGCAGCAAAATCTGAATATATATTTGAAAATGTCTCATTCTCAGCTTTCGAATGATATAGGCCTCATATCAAAGTCCCATACCCCAGTTACAACCTTCCCTAGTAAGATATGAATTTATCCATTCTATAAGATATGAATTTAATCCTATAGAGGCCAGCTTTTCAAGTAATAAATTATGAGGTACCTTATCAAAAGCCTTACTGAAATCAAAATAAATTATGTCTACCTGATCCCCTCTTTCAAGACTAGAAGTCCAATCATTTAAAATTCTGACAGACAGGAAGTTGTTGATCTACCTACTCGAAAGCCGTGTTGGCTGTCACTCCAAAATTGACTATTTGCTAGATGGTCATTGATTCTTTTCAGGATACACCTTTCGTAAACTCTACAAATAACGGAAGGGAGACTAATAGGCCTGAATTGGCTTGGGCTAGAAGGAGTTTCTACTTTTTTTATAGGAATAACAATCGCCTCGTTCCACTTTTTCGGGGTTTTTCCTGACATCATTGAGTAATTACAGAGTTGTGCTATTGGGCTAGCTATATATATGGATGTCAATTTTAAAAAAACTAGAAGGAATATCGTCTGGGGTTAGTGTATTATAACTCTTAATTTTCTTAAGTAACTTATAAATTTCATCTTCAGATACCCATATCATTTCCTGGATATTTTTTGTGGTATTATTGGCTTGGAACGTTGGACTAGGATTTGTAAATTGTGATTCAAAATACTCCGATAGACATTCAGATTTCTCATAGTCTTCACTCAATACTATTCCGGACAAGTTTTTGAAGTCTGGTGTATCGCCAGATTTCTTCTTTAACACAAATTTAGAAAACTTAGAAAACCGACTGACACCTTTTTTCTGAAGAATTTGCAATTCAACATTGCCTTTATATTTTTGCAATTTTTTCCTAAATTTTTTTGTAATCAGGGCGTATTGTTCAAAGTCAGAGTCACTTCTAGTTAGTTTCGTTTTTTCCCAAAGGTAGTCTACAAGTTTACTGAAATGATATCAGGTATTGGGGGAGATTTCCATATTCAGAATTTACTCTAATCCAAGGAACAGTGCATTCAAAAACATGATTAAGGAAGGAGAGGAAATTATCATATTTGTCATTAATGACTAAACTTTGACCAAAGATTTGTGTCCAGTCAACTCTATGTAACAGTTGTTGGAGCATTTGCCTATTTACGTTTTTATAATCAGGGATAGAGATGTACACAGGAGTTGGCTTGTGAATAAGGTCAAGTTGGAAAGATATTTTTGAATGAACGCTGAACCCTATCGGACTGGAAACCACAACATTAGACTGTGACGTATTCGAAAAAAGTAGATCAAGAATGTTTGGGCCTCTAGTAGGTTGCTTTACGTATTGAGTAAGATTATTTGTTACGCAAAAATCAATAACCGCTCTGGCTAGTTGTAGGGGTTGTGTTGGTGTGGGAGGATCTGAGCACCAATCAATTTCTTTACAATTAAAATCTCCTAATATAATAATATTCTTATGATCGATGAAAGTATATATAATATTAAAAAGTTGTTTTGAATCTCTAGTGTTACAGGAAGGCGTTCCATAGACATTTATTAGTTTTATGGGGTCTATTCCTACGTCGACTTCAAGAATTAAAATTTCATAAGCATTTTTTAGCAGGGTTGCAATCTGACGGGCTGGCCGGCCCGAGGGAAAAAAACCAGGGCCCGGCCCGGCCGGCCGGCAATTAATTAATATTTGAACGCGCACCATTTTTATTTGCAACGATGCTCCGATATGACGAGGTATCACCCTCTCGTGTGAGACTAGATGGATGACAAATATCAAATGTTTATGGGACATCGATAGCTGTCTGCAAGTAGTTCAGAATTCGAGTAAATTATCGATGAGAGGCTCCCCTTGTTCATTTATACGGTTTTTACATTGTTATGCTACCTGTTAAAGGTGGGGGGACAGGAGATTTTTCGTAGTTTTTTTGTAGCTAGAGTATGCATTCTACCGTCACGGTGTACAACGCTTAATGTCATTCTGCGTACAGCTGTCGTCCTCGCCTTTATGTATGCAATCGGGCGTGCGCTTTCTCTTTGCCCGCGTGGCTCAGCCGGTAGCGACGCCGCACCCTCAATCATCGCCCTCACAAGTTCAACTCCTCGAAAGGCATCTTTGAACGGAATTTAGAGAACA